GATAAAGACATATCCCTCTCCAGCAGTTAAGGATTGTCCTGGCCACGTCCTTGCAACTGGTAGGAATAGGAAAGGTATGTTAGTCCAACATTTATTTAAGAGAAATGCAGAGAACTCTACGTCTCCTCATAAATGTCTCGGGAATTTAGGAATTATGTTAGTAGGAAGGCAAGCCGTAGGATACACCCAGTCAGTATTGCTGGCAAATGTAGATTTTTACTAATTAATCTGGCTAATTAGACCAGATTCCCACAAACTGCTTAAGTGAAATTTGGGTAACAACTACTGAAAAACTGGTAACTTTTACTTGATATTCCGTTTTGTTTAAAATGCTTTTCACGAAATGTGTACGTCAATTTTGAATTAGCGTAATGAAATATAAACGTACGAGGCACTCAATTTTATGAACTTTATCGGGCAGGTTAGTTAACAGACTCAATATGCCGATGCCACCTTATGAAATTATAAAAATATTAAAAGGCACAGTTAGCTACACATTAATGTAAAAGAATGTAATTAATGTAAAAGAATAAAATTTCCGTCCAATATTTGCAGCAGCTACTGGGAAATTTTAAATCATTTAGGAGTTCTTCCACCTCGTGACGGTGACGCAATTTTGATATTTTTTACATACCTTTTTTGTATACTTGAAGATCACGTAAATCTCCTTTAGTGAAAATATCGAAGCCCCAAACACACTAACACAAATACAGGAACAGGAAAATGTGGCAACGTGGTAAAACGAATGCGTCAATTGCTGATTACTTTTTAATGAAGACAACATATCAAGAAGACTGGCAACTTAGCCTGAATCCAAGCGACAGACACAGTAGCGCTGCGCTCGAGCAAACCTTTATTTTGAGGAGGGAACCATTGCTATCCAATTCGTTCGTAGCATTTACCTTTGAGCGGCAGATGATGTGATTCTGCCTGTCTTATACCGTACGTATGAGAAAATTAAAGAGTTGCCAGTCTTCTTGATATGCTGTCTTCATTTTTAGTGAACCCTATACGATTGTTTTAATTGACAATAATCGTATTTATATCGATATTGACAATATGTCTGTATTCACATCATCAATATTATTATCAATAATTTCCCTTCTCGTCAATATATTGATACGTGTATGGTTCACTTTTGACTATGCCCGTGACATATTTACAGCAAGAATGTTTGGCGCATGGTTTATAAATTGAAAAATCATACTACAAAATTTCGAAAATCATATGTTTATGTATACCATCATTTTGTATTTATACATAGTCTAAGGAATGTTTTGATATACAAATATGGCATATTTCCCGGAAAAATCACACCATTTAAAGTTGAATGCACTTTTCCACCCTAATTTTGCATATTTTTAAATTTAGCGGCGCCGGTGGTGTAGTAGTAAGCGTGATTGTCTCTCACCGCAGCAGGCCTGGGTGCAATCCCAGTAGCATTTTGGTTTTTTCTAGAATGTTTCTTCATTTTTTGAGTACTTTATTTGATTGGTACACGTTTTTGCTTGAAGGGGATATACACTCAGATAAAAAAGATAACTTTTTTATGGCTTGTTAAAATTAATGAACATCTATGGAGACATTGAAGATGAAGTAGCACAGCAAACAAGGAGTAGCAATTTCAAATTTGTATGTTTTGTGGAAACTGACATTTGTGCCTTTAAAGTTTCACGCTAAGGCTTCCTTAGAGTATCACCTTGAGAAGCTTTTACAAAGACCACAATTTTGTATCTCTCAACTGAACGAAGTTATATAGAGTACAAACGGTAGTACTCCCTTAAAATCCCTTTTTTTACCATAACTTTTTTGTTTTAATTTTACCATCCTTTTAATGTTCTACAAAAGTGTAAGTGTTCTAAAATTGCACATTTTTGCAAAAGAAAGCAAATCGCTATCTCTTCGTCTAAAGGATTTACATCCGCATTTCTAATTTTTTAACACTGTCTTTAAGGGTGTGTATTAGACTGATGCAAAATTTTAAACTTTCGCTTCACAGTGCTCAAACGGTTTCAAATCAGGTCCTGATTAGCCTCCCAAAATTTAAACTCATTTGGTAAGAAACTGACTTGGCACAAACTATTCGAAGTTTATATGGAAATTACTATGGGAAAACCAAACTTTTTGTTCATTGTCTTCAACGCTTTTTATATATTGCTTTTTCAAAAATTTCTATGACTATTTTTACGGGAAATAATTTAAGCTACAACCTTGCCGAATAAAGTTTTTCAGCCAAATGTCAAATTAAATTGTTATTAATTGTTTAAGAGATTGATAATCTTATGGCATGATCAAGCAGCTGTTCTGTTAGCAACACTGTTTTCTGCAGTGTGACATAGTAGCCATGATATTTGTGATCTATTCTTCGCACCAGAAACACCAATGTTGAATGAGCATAATCATAAGACATCAGTGACTTGAATCATTAACAACTTGTGTTGCGACACCCCTCGTGTAGCAACGCACCTTCTCACCAGCTAAAGAAACTCCAACCTTTACTTGCCTTGGCTCGGCTGACAGTTGTTGAATGCCGATAGGGACGGTACGGGAAAATAATTGTCATTTAAGAACAAGTGAAACCATGTGACACGATGTCGCGATTACCTAAAATTATTCTTTGGATTTAGTTTAAAATTAATGAAATTGTTATCTATATTATCTGTACTTAAATCTAAGTTGCTATTTGTAGTTGCGTGAGTTAATGCAACAATAATTTGCGAAGCGTTGAAGTAAAACTGAACTCATTTTCCTTTCTAGAAAGTTGTAGGTTAAGTTGATTGGGTAAACGATCGAGCCTCTAAATTGAAACCTAATTTCGTTGTTTCTAATACGGTAAATTGTGAGTCATGAACATAATTATATACAGCTAACTCGAACTATCACCCCGTTCAGGACTCGGTTCAGGAGTTGGCCAGTTTCTTATAAAACAGTTTCGTTACCGGGTTACAACGACGGAGAATTACAAAACGTAAGATATTATACTACTAGAAGCTAAGAACTGTAATTTCAACGGCATAAATCATTCCAGGAAATTTTAACGTATCCTCAATAAATCGTTAAACGTTCGGAGTCTACTTTCTCTTCGTTGGAAAACCAACAACTTGTGTTCCTTACATTTGATCGAAAAGTGGTTTTGAACAAAGTTGTAGCTGAGAAAATTTGCTACAATCACTGCTATCATTTTTTAAAGCATAGTGATGTGGTGAATTGTTAGATAGATATAAACAAAAACATAAATTATCCTATAGTAATTCCCATATAAACTCGAAATGGTTTGTGCCAAGTCAGTTTCTTACTAAAGTATTTAGTTCAAATTTTAAGAGGCTAATCAAGACCCGATTTGGAACCGTTTAAACACTGTGGAGCGAAAATGTCAAATTTTGCATCAGTCTAGTGTGTATCTTGCAGGATAGCAAGTATTAGCAGCTAAACTCCACGTAATTTCGTTAAGCAACTTATACCATACTGTTGAATGTACAATTTGTAGGAGGATCCTAGGGGATGCCTAATGAATGTTCTAATAAAAAACCTAAATGTTTGGTGCGTTTTGCAGTTTTCATGACTATTTTTCCAAGTATGAACATTAGGGTGGGTTGCAGCTTCGATAAAGTTGTTTGGTATAGTATTCTCAATCTAAGTCCGAGTTTTGGTGACATTTGAGAAATAATTGGATTTTTGGTAAGCAAATGAATAGGATCGTTCGTTTCCCATACTATTTCCCATAGGGGAAAAGTTGGCTTCGGCTATTATCGTCAGGGGGTAAACAAAGGTGAACTAAATCACCTTTTTATAGTCGAAACAATATTTTATTCGAATACACCAAAATTAATGGTCAAAGAATAGTATAATTTCTGAATCCATGATGGTGACTTCCATTTATCAAAATTGCTTCAAATACACTACACTATGAGTATTTTTGGATCAGAGAAGACGAGACTGTTGTTGGTAAAAAAAACGAAGGCGGCTAAATTGCAAAATTAGCCAATTTTCCAAGATGATAGGAAAATGTCAAACTTGTTTCGTCACGGATGAATGAATTTCAGAAAATGTTGCACCAATTTAATGCATAATATTATGACTATAAATAAATCATAACTACAGTTGAGATGATTGATTGTGTTTCAAGAAATTACAATTTAAAAAAGTTTTTCAAACAAGAAGCATTTTACTAAAATTACTCAAACTTTATGCAGATTCAACTGATCAATCTTTAAAAAATACCGGTAAATTTTGAATGTTTCATCAACCAACAGCTTTAACTTCAGAAATTTAAATACACATACTTAAAAATTACAGCTCTTTGAACTTTTTTGGAGAAACAAACACATAACCCTACTCTCAGAGCACCTAAATTTACAAGAATGTTTCTAAGTGTGTGGTTTACTTATTACTAGGAAAAACAAGTAAACAAATAAAGACAACCCGTACAATTCAGCTACAATTTAAAGTAAACTGTTGGTATTCGAAAACTTCATCACAATGGGATTTGATTTTTTTTAATTCAGAAAAATTTTAATTTAAAGTAGGTCACTTTATACAAAAGCTTAAGTTTTTCACAGAATTTTATATCAACATCCAGAAAGTCGATTAAACTCTTTTTTGAAAACACGCTTACAAACAACTAATTCTAGTACAGGTTAGAAAAATATAATCAGACCATGAAACCAATGCTAACTTGCTGTTAGTTGACCAAATGTTCAGCATTGATTCAAGAGTCATTACTATAATTTATTCCAAAGTAACACTTTTAATTTTATCATGGTCTCGTAAAAAATTTGAAGAACCCTTTATAACCCCGATAAAACTTGCAACTTGATACTAGACAAAATTACAATTTATATGGGCTTCTGGTTCCATAAAGCAGACATACGTCCATCCATAGCTTAATAGATGTTCAAACTTTCATATGTATTCAATTCATCAAAAAAATTAAGCCTCGAAAAGACTAATTTTTCAGCAAAATTTACTAAATAATTTCTACTCTTCCCTCCTCATTCCAGCTCGCTTCAATGGCTTCGGGGTCCACATAAAAACGTAGAGATAGAACTCGACACCATCCGTTCGAACGTACGTACATCGAGAATCAACCTGCTGAACCGGATGTCTTCGGTGGCAACGAACACCCCGGTGTCAAACGGAGGAGGTCAACAGCTACCGACAGACAGCCAACAGCAACATCAGCAGGGAAGTCGCCTCGGCAGCCGACTTTCACAATTCGTGCGATCCTGGCAGCTGCCAAGGGTTTCCTTCGCTGCCATCGTGTCCAACGTGAAAGCCGTCATGCGGAACGCTCGCCTGGTGAAACCCGTCTCCATCACCTGTGGCCTTATGATCTTTCAACGATTCACCGGTAAACATAATTAAATTTGTCATAATCCAGGATAATTCCTCATCAAATCACATATTTCAGGTGCCAATTCGTTTAACTTCTACGCTGTGAGCATCTTCAGCAAAACTTTCGACGATTTGAACCCGCACGGGGCAGCCATCGCAGTAGGCTTTGTACAGGTGCTCGCCTCCATGCTGTCCGGTTTGCTCATCGACATCGTCGGCCGGATACCGTTGCTCATAGTGAGCAGCGTGTTCATGTCCCTGGCCTTGGCCAGCTTCGGCTCGTTCGTTTACTATGGGCAAACGAACAAATTGCTCGCCACCTACGATCTGGACACACCGACCGAAAACAACGACTGGATACCACTGCTGTGTGTTCTAGTGTTCACCGTCGCCTTTTCGCTGGGCATTTCGCCTATTTCGTGGTTGCTGGTTGGTGAGTTGTTCCCACTGGAATACCGAGGAATTGGTAGCTCGATTGCCACCAGTTTCAGCTACTTCTGCGCTTTCCTCGGTGTCAAGACGTTCATGGATTTCCAGGTTTGTTACCTGCAGGTTTGCTGGGAGCTCGGACATTTAATGAAAGGTTTTTGGGTGATTTCAGGCGGCGTTCGGTTTGCACGGTACGTTTTGGCTGTACGCGTGCATATCCTGTGTGGGGCTGTTCTTCGTCATCATGGTCGTTCCGGAGACCAAGGGACGCGATCTGGAGGAAATGGACCCGAAGTACGTGCGAACGCTCACGATAAATCGATGAGATATGGGAACGCACGTAGAGTATCTAGTATAGTATTTAATGGGCCCTCGCGCGCTATCTTTCCCTGTGTCTTTTATTGTTTATTACTGCTTAGGAGTCAGCTTCCGCGCTGTTATGTGTTCACATTCGTTCGGTGCATATGCAATGTTACTTAAGTTGAATTGAAGTGCTTAGAATGCTACTTATAGAACACAGAGGAACAGCTGATGAATGGAAGAGTGAGAAATGACTGAAAGTTGTGAAACAATATTTAAATGTTCCTAAAAATGACCGCGAATGCGTGTTAAGATGAGATAGTTATTGTTGTATATGTAGAAGAATGCGAATGCTTATGATTTGATGGTTATACTTTAAATTAAATTAAAAAAAAAAAACAGAAAGAACAGTGAGCGTGTGTACATAGGCCGCAATCGAATGGGAATCCGTACTTAGCTAAGGTAAAAATGTAATTCAAACTAATGATACTAACAAGCAAGAGAACCATGCTTAGCAGAAATTGCAGAAATCAAAAAAGGGAAAAACCGATTAGTTTATGAAATTATTCTTCCGTTCACAACTGTTGACTAACTAAAGGAACGACTTACACACTTGTAAATATAGGTCCGTTAAACGCACAAAGGAGTATTGATAAAAGTAAAAAGAGTAGAACTAGCACGCGCGAGGGTGTGCAAAAGGAAATGCAAACCTCACACGTAGATATTAATGATGCTAATGTCTTTAACATAGAAATTGTTTGTCCTGCAGCTAGACCAATTATATGGGTACAATTGACATTCACGAAACTGTTTCCGGCGGCGAATCATAGCAAGAAAAGATGAAGGAGCTTTTGGAGGAAACTACTTAATCAACAATGTACGTTGGTTGTTTTTGTCGTTTAAGATTTTGAGGAAACTTGGTTATTTTTCTAAGAACCTTCTTTAGCTCAGTCTGTTAGAGCTCGGTTTTAAAGCAAACGTATGCTGGAGTCAGCGGTTCAAAGAACTTTTCAGGTTACACATTCTCTCGACTTGCCTGGCATTGCAAAGTTCAGTTGCTGATGGGCTCTTTTCTACTGTTGCTCCAGAACTGTATCTTCACCGGCACGGCTGCTGAGACTATCTCAGTAAGAAAGTTATTTTTGCTTATTTGTATGAGACATTACTTAAAACGCAGGTCACTCAGAGCTGAGTGACCAGCGTTTTCAGAAATTTGACATACAACTGAGTAAAACAGACTCTCTCACTGAGTTAATCTCAGCAGCAGCCGTGTCACGAATTCAGTCTCTCAGAACAAGGATTGGGTACCATCACGCAAGAATAAACTGAGCTATTGACTGAGTGCTCTGATGTCAGTGACTTGTTTACTTCTCAATCATTCAGATTCTGACGAAGCAGTGAATGATGAGGCGGATGGCTCATGACTCATTGAACCTGACTGTTTTGGGCACTGGGCGAAAAAAAAAACTAGAGCGAAAAATGCCAAAGTAAGAAACGTTTTTTGCATTGCGATCATTCTTGTAAATACGTTTCTCTTACCACACGGCAAAGTAGTCTAGCTCATAGTTGAGTTTCGTTCACGGAAATTCGCAAAGCGTAAGTCACTCATAGAATGAGTATTTTTTTCTCAAATCTAGATAGAGCTGGAATTAGGGCGTAACAGCTTTTGTAAGCAATGACTTCTCTTGATGATTTCTCGAAAGTTATGGCTCTCGCTGGCAAATCGACATCACCATCAAGTAGGGGAAGACTTCCCCTACCCGATGAATATGTTGGTTTGTGTAGGCGTACCTTGAATTCCTAGAAATCAACGAGAGAAGTCATTGTTTACAAACGCTGTTACGCCCTAATTCCAGCTCTATCTAGAAATATGAGTTAATGTCACTCATTTTTGAGTGACATTTAGTGCCTATAATCGCATATCAGTCCCATACGGAGAAAGTAAGCATTTAGAAAATGGCAGTTAAAGTTACGAAGTGCAATTCCAGTGCAGTTGGATGAACCTTGCATGTTTTGTTATATCAGCAAAAACTATGGTAATTCGAACTTGAACTATGGCAGAACTTTAACTTGAACTACGGAAGATTGAATTTCAGGATGAGACCGATGGTGGTGGATAGCGTTGCTAACTCCAAATTGGTGAAAATCCATATGGGACTAATATGTGATTATAGGCAGTTTACTCATAGATGAGTGACGTACGTTTCTGTGAATTTGAGTGAATGGGACTGAAATATGAGTTGGATTAATTTGTCGTGTATTGCCTATAATTCCATATCAGTCCCATATCGAAAAAAATAACATTTAAAAAATGAGAAGTTACGAAGTACAATTCTCATGGAATTATTTGAAAAATCATAGTAAATTAATTGATATTTTTTTAAGATAAAATCACTCTACAATGAAGAGGCTAGAATGTTTTGTTATATCAGAGAAAAATATAACGATCCAAAAAGCAGAATCATAGCTTGACCTCTGGACGATCGAATTTAAGGATGGGACTATGCGTTTACTTTGCTTGATGGGACAAACTAACTTGATGTTGTTTTCACATTTTACATGATCCAAGTCCGTAGTTTTATCGTGCAATATGAAGGTAAAGGTCAATTATTGATAGTGGATAACGTTGTTATCTCAAAATTGACGAAAATCCATATGGGACTGATATGCGATTATAGGTAGCGTAGTTCTTGCTCGTTAGTTCTTCTTAGTTCTCGTTCCTCAGTTCAGTTCATACACGCTATTATGAATCTACCCAAAAATGGGTGAACTCTACCCAGTTCAGTCAAAACTGAACGTACCCAAATTTGGGTAAACCAATATTTACCCAAATTTGGGTAAACGTGCTTGCGAAGAAATCTTGGTGAAGTTTACCCAGATGTTGACATTTGTTATCTGAGTAGACTTTACCCATTTTTATATAAAGATTATGTGGAACCCATGAAAACCTTTAAAATACTTACAAATAATGTCTTTAACCAGACAAAGAGAAAGAAGGAAGCAATTTACGAATATATCAGTATTTATTTATTTTAATCAGCGTAAGAATGACGTACTTGGTCCGAGTGGATGCCAAACTGAACTGGACTTGAACGGAAATCTGCTTCACTAGCTTCATCAACCATAGCCTCATCAGACGCGTTAGGTTTTTGATGACTGTTTATGATGAAATACGACATTGCAATCACCACCTGCAATAGGGAGATAATTTAGAAAGCTGCATCGTATATTGTGGTACGATTTCAAATGATGTTTATACATTGTTTCGCTACCAGTAACAAACATTTGGTAGTCAGGAATGCAGCACTGAATGCTTGAATAACTACTATCCGGAAGACGAAGTTTAATGTTTAACATGGTTTAATATACTTACCAACCAGCTGCTGGTAAATTTCACTATCCAGATTGTTCCGTTGTTGTTCCATTTTGATTGGATTTAAGACAGTAATTATTCCAGCGTAATCGTAATCGTACAAATCGTACGCAAAAGTCGACCTTTCAACGCCGCGCCATTTTAAGTTCATGAAATTTTTTACAAGACTCAATTACCCAGAATCTGGGTAGATTCTACTCATCTACACAAAAATTGTTTACCCAGATTTTTACAACCCCATACGTCATGCACGAGTGGGTGCAATTTACCCAGTTACTGGGTAGCCTAAAAATAGCGTGTAGATCATTGCACAAATTGATTTAGCCACACTGTTTTAACAGTTCAGGGAGCTTTTTTACCAGGAAGCGATTTTGAAACTCTTCAAATTTTCACTCTTGGATGTCCTCAGGCTGTAATACTTCAATCCTTATCATGGTGCGATTCCACCAAAAAACGTTTAAGTCCCCTGTAAACAAGCTCCCTAAACTGTCTAAACTGTGTTAATGACGTAATCATGCAATGATTCAATTCCCTCTGTCCGGCCACTGAGAGTAACTCAGTGAGGTAATCACTTCTACTTAGTTGCATGAAAAATTTATAAAAACCACATTACTAAGCGAAATTTTTCTCATACAACTGAGTTAAAGTAGCTCACTCACTGGCTTAGTCTCAGCAGTCATGCAGTAGAACTAAATCTTTTCAAACGTTCGCGAACGCATTGCCCATCTCTAACTCAAGTAACATTTGAAATTTTGAAACTTTAAAAAGTCTCGAGTTTCGTTTTGTGGGGCTCAATTTGTCAAAAGGCTAAATTTTGGAAAATGAGAGATTGGTCCTAGATATTGTTTTTGTGATCTTGAAGTTGACAAAAATTGAGACTCAGGTAATTTTCTTAGGCACCTTCAACTAAGAAAATAATTAATTGAAGAACAACCATCAAGATTTTGGTATAAGTCAAACAAAAATTCATCCTTTGCTAAACATTTTCTCGGACTAAGAGAAATATCCATTCAATTTCCAAGATCCCAGATTTGAAAAAAAAATCAGGCATTATCAAAAATGGGCCACTGATTATTTTCAAGCTTATGGACTTGGACTTTCATGATTATCATGAGAATTTTGATGAGAGATCCAAAAGGCATTTATAACAGTGGAGGCGAACCAGCCCAAGGCTGAAAGCCTCATTAATAAAGTTAAATAATAATAATAATTTATAACAAAGGCATAACAAGAACTGGTGGATAAGTTCAATTGGAATGCTGGGATTATTCCATTCTCATTCTAAGGGTGGGTAGAAGAACTCATACTCATACTTCATAGAAGAACTCATATTCTAGGATAAATTCCAACTCCAACTTAGTTCAGTGTGTAATTCCAAGATTATTCTGAGAATGGAGATTGTGAAGAGAACTCCTATGGAATTCTTATAGCAATTACAGCTGAATGCAAAGAGAATTCCAAGAGAATTCTTAAAAGACCTCAAATGAAGTTATGATGATACTTCTAAAGAAATTCTGAGGAGAGTTCCAAGGGACTTCCTAAAATAATTAAGAGGTGATCGAATCATAATAGCAAGTGTGAAGTGGAATCAATTTCTCAGTTTATTTACAGTGACAGTAAAATGACAACGCAATTCTGAGTATAATGTTGAGAAGTATCTGAAAGCATAACTGCCAAGTAACCACCAGGCCCTTTTTGCAATATAAGGTTTTCTGATTTTAATGTTTAAACTAGCCTTATATCAGCATTATAATGGAATTTTTGGACTTTTTAGGGGGAGGGGGGATCCCTTAGAATTTGTGTTTGGATCCAAGGATGAATTCTAAGCTAAATTCTGAGGAAAATGCTAAAATCAACTCTGAGAAGAACTACAAGACGGTTCTAATCTAATCTAATCTAATCTGATACAATCGCAGCCAGTACAAGAAAGCATACTAGAAAATCATTAGGTTAGATAAGACCTAATCATTTTTCTTGTCAACATTGATGTTTGCAGCATATCTGAGATATGACACAAACATCAAAACGGTCAGGCCTACTGCGTTGCATTTGCCGCAAAGATGATTCTGTGAAAGGATTCGAGTTCAAATAAACCGTGGAGGCACCTTATTCGAAGCAGTTCCTTAATCGAAGCACTCCATAATGTTCGACTATTTTAAATAATTATTTTTGAAATGTTACTTCTGCAAATATTAGTTTCAGTGCTCTAGGGATGATGGTGTTACAAGGTTTTAAAAAATAGCTCTTGTCAAAATAGACGAGTGCGTCATCATTAGGAACGCGTCAAATATGGTGCTGGCACGGTATATCTAATGTTATGAGTGAATGTAACAGTAATATGATATGTAATGAATGGTGTATAAAATACAGTGTAATGGAAGGATCTCACCAAATGCCTCCAATGTTAACCAAATTCCTGATTTCCATTTGACGTTTGTCAGCTGTATGTTTCTCTCTGGCACTTGAAACAAGTTGAAAGTCCTACCTCGGCAACATGATCGCACTGAATGATGGTACGTTGGGGGTTTGCTGGCTTGACAGCGGCCCCAGGAACAAGCTGGGGGATATTGTAGGTCCTGCAGACCGTCGATGTACGTGCACTCGCGGTGTTCCGAATGGAAGATCTTCCGTTGCTGATGATTGGCCATTTACGCCAGGAATTGAGCTGCTCGTGAACATAACTTCTTGAATCTCGGCCTTGGTGGCGACTCAGAACCAGGTCCATCTATGGTAGTTGTTGACCGGATCAGCACCCAAGTATAAATATACCACAGGTCATCACTGGAATTTCGATTCGCGGAAAATGTGCTCCAATTACGAGACAAACTATCTCACATAAGTTATTAATTTTCGAGAAGAACTACAAGACGGTTCAGAGAAAAACTCAAAGGTAATTCTGAAGGATATCAGATCACTCTCTGAGCGGCGCCGGTGGTCTAGTGGTAAGCGTGATTGCCTTTCACTCTAAAGGGCTTGGGTTCTATCCCACTCGGAGCCGCTGGGGTTTTCTGAGGCATAAAGACTTTGATCACGCCTTCCTTCGGGTATTATTTGAAATCCCAGCTGAGACTTCAAAACTTCACTGAGCCGATTGGTTTCTGTTGTTGAACTTATAATTCATACTATGTTATGAAAAGTTATGCTTCATTTCATTGAGATGACAAAACTAGACGATATATTTGAAGAGCTACAAACATGTGTGGCATCTGGATGTTTGGCTCTAGTTTGACAATTTACATTTAGCTCAATGTTAACAAGCATATTGAGTGAGTCCGCAATACCCAGTCTTGATATACAGTTCTCGCTATTGATGCATCGGCATTGAATCAGAATCTAGCATCCTCCTTAGTTCTTGAGCAGATACCCACCGGATTTGCACAAGAAACACTCATTCCTCATTCCTTCATACAACGTCTTTCTTCTTTGCTGTAAAACTTCAGCCTTCAACGTTACCACGTCGAGTATCATAATCTCTTTAAACTCATGGAAAACAGTTGAAACAGTTTTTCGCAATTCTCTATAATAGTCCAAAAACAAACTTTATTGAACTATTTCTTGATTTGAATGAATATTTTTAAGCAGCTTCGTGAGGACAATTGTACCTTAATCAGGGTTACTTCCACTCACTTGCCATAAAAAAATATTTTTTGGAATTATGAAATCATGAATTAGTATAATGTTAATTAGTACTTGTAAGTTACAAGAAGAGGTCATGAAGTAAATGTTTGACACATAAAATCTGTCAATATTGCTTTCAGTGCGTCACAATCAGCGATTTTACGACTCGTGAGCGCTCACTCTGAGTGAATGCTCACAAATCATAAGATCGCTGATTTTGACGTTCTGAAAGCGAAATTGACAGGTTTTATGAGTCAAACACATACTTTACACCCTCTTCTTGTTACTTACTAGTACAACATATCATTATAACATCTAATGATTGCATAATTCCGAAAAATATTTTTTTATAGCAAGTGAGTGGAAGCAACCCTGACCTTAATTATATCAAATTACATCAAGTTCCGAAAGCGATGCCATTAATCTTAACCCATTACTTTCATACATCAAACTCCCTTTTCCCCTCATTAGTAAGGTAGTCGGACCACCGGCTCGAACTTATTAATTCGAAGCTGTCAAAACATACATACATCAATGAAAACACAACAACAATCGAGATCACGTCAGCAATGAAATTTTGACAGCTCATGGAACATCGCAGTTAAATTTGAATTCCGTTTACTCAAATTCGCTAAACTTTCGTCGTTCTGTGAGTGATAGTAGTTTATGCGAATTATAGTAACGGAACTCAAATGACAGTGAGATTTAACGGTTTTGTGACGCTCCTGTGGAAATTATACTTAAGTATCACAATCGCTTCGATCATGCTCTGAGAAGCGACAACACAAATAAATTTCAAATTCAGACATTTTGTAAACAAGCTTCTTGAACTGTCAAAAAGGTTAGGTTCAGTATCAAGGTGACATGCCCTATTAGTTGAACACGAAAAAATCCGGACACGAAAATCTTGTTGGGGTTTAAAAATGCGTTTTATTTTTCAGCTAAACATTAGTAGGTATTATGGAAATCTAGCGAGCATGATCCGATTTCCAGTTTGTCGTAAACTGTACAGACCGTGATCTGTACAAACTACGACCAACGATTAGTCCTCTTCCACCTTGAAAATACATTATTGCGTAGGCAACTCACAGATAACAAATCCATTGTTAGACTGAGTCAAGCTCAGAGAAGTGAGTTACCCTTTTCGCTCATTATATCCACAAATCGCAACATGTGCTTATTTCACAAGACGAGAGTGAGTGTCTCTCTGTGAGTAGCATTCTTTGGCAATTTGATGTTACAGAGCAATAGCGAATTTGTTTATTTCCAGGTTGGTACCAGTTCTAACCCAGTGCAAACCCGAACTTTTTTTCAGCGCGATAGTCGACTCGTGCCAGGTTATAAAAACAAACGATCAAACTGACGTTTGCTAGAAAACAAGCCGACCCTAAAGGCCGGCGCACAATAGATACGTTTTCGGGTTATTTGACAGATAATGCATGGGCTAACTGTCAAAAAACCTGAAAACGTATCTATTGTGCGCCGGCCTTAACTTGATACCCAATCCAGGTTGGAACGGTATAATAAACAAATTCGCTTTAAGTAAGCATCAGAAGATAGGTGCTGACCATCGGTAGGGGAGAACAGTCCATTATGCACCCCCGGGGTAAAATGGCGCCGTGCGGGTTTTCGTTGCTTTCCCATTACTAATTCTGGAAATTCTGTGCCAGAATGTTAGTTCAAGTACTAGCAATGCTGATTGTTAAATTCACGAATTGACAATCGGAAATCTATGAAAAACAGTGCAGGGCCAGTTTACTCCAGGGGTGCGTTTTGAATCATCCTACCCTAAATTTTAACACAAAGGCTGAAACGAGGCGATCTGCGGTTTCTATAAGTGAGGAGGATGCAAACAAGTCGACTCTTTCGTTCTCTCGGTTTCGAATGCAGCAACAGACGTGACGTGATTTTTTGACATCACTGGCGTATTATGCTAGACCATTATTTCAGTCTTCCTTCTTACCACAGGCCTGCTCGAACTTTTCTTCGTACATGGCCCATCATCACAAGCCCTGATTTTACTTGTTTGACTTCCAAATTCCAAAATCCTTCAGGACAATTGCAGTTCCAGCCTTTTTCTTCAGTATGTGCTTCACAATTGACCAGTATTCATCAATTGGCCTTAGTTCCGGAGTATTGGCCGGATTCATCTCCTTGGGAACCACTGTGACGCCATTTTCGCTGTACCACTGTTTGGTGGAATTTGAGTAGTGGCAGCTTGCCAAGTTCAGCCAGACAAGGCATTAGTCTCTTCCGTAGGCAGTCCTCCTGGTAAATTTGCTAAGGTCCCAGAAGCAACGAAAGTTTCGCATTTCAGCCCACAACCGCAGATTGCAGACAAGGAACTTTTTGGGGAATTGCGACTTCTTTTTGATTTTACATTCTTGCGGGGCACTCTTCTTGTCAACCGAGGTATAAATTTCCTGCCCAGGAATTTGATTCAAAACTTACAGGAGCGGATAGACCGGGATTTTAGATTCGAGCGTGCAGGATAGAATCGCGACGTGCTTGCTCCGGTGAAGCCAT